TTTACCTCCTCTCCTCCACCTACAACCTGCATCTCCTTGTCTGTGCCCCATGTGCCACACATTCTAGCAGGCCAATAAGGGCCCAATACAGGATCTGGGGCAAGGGTAGGCAGCCTGCTAAAGGCACCAGAAGCAGCCCCCTCACATATATCTATGGAATAAAAGCTTGTAAACATTGAATTAAGGTTTTATATCTTTCCAATGAAAGAAGAGCAAGAGAGAAGTTCATATAGGACTATATTAAAGGGCACAACAAGTAATCGTATTTCCTATATAAAAGGTGTTCTTTCAAAATGACTTCTTTGGGGTTTTTTTGGGAGGAAAGCAACCAGGAAGCTTCATGAACATATTGTGATGTATAAACCACTAAAGGAAAAGCTTAGGTGTACCCAAAAGCCACATACACTGGATGGTCTGCATTGAAAAATGTTTTTAAAAGAGACATATATGATTAGGACTACACTGCTAGGGAGAAGCCGCATTTGCTCTGTGGGGCAAAACAGATAGTCCTTACCAGGTAAATAAATTTCCTTCTTAATTTATTGCAGGGTTATTTAACTTTTCTAACATTCCTGTTTCAGTTTTAGCTTCAAGGAACAAGAAGACCTTATCATTTTTGGAGGTTTTGCTTCTTTAGAGCACATTGGCAATATTTTCTTTCTTTGATTCCGACTCAAAAAAAAAATGGTCCTCAAAGAGTCTGACTTCAAGGGTGCCAGATCAGCTTTGAATTCATCATCCATACACTGCTGCTAAAACCCATGAATTTTATCTGACAATATCAATAGGTAAAGGTAAAGGTTCCCCTTGGCATTTAGGTCAGTCGTGTCTGACTCGAGGGGGTGCTGCTCATACCAGTTTCCAAGCTGTAGAACCAGTGTTTGTCTGAAGACAATTTCCATGGTCACGTGGCCAGCGTGACTAGACACAGAACGCCATTACCTTCCCACCCTGGTGGGTATCTATTTATCTACTCACATTTGCATGCTTTCGAGCTGCTAGGTTGGCAGGAGCTGAGACAAAGCAACGGGAGCTGACTCTGTCGTGTGGATTCGATCTTACGACTGCTGGTCTTCTGACCTTGCAGCACAGAGGCTTCTGGGGTTTAACCCACAGCGTCACCACATCGCTTATACAATATCACTGGATTTCATTAAAAAGACAGTGCATAACATATTGGTATTTGTCATAAAGTCCTTCCCCATGCCTGTCTGCATCATGAGACATCTTCCATAGGGCAAAGTCCTCTTGTGTTAACCTTGCAACAGCATAACCCAGTGAGGGCACTGGAAAGATTTCATTTAAACTCATGGAAAGTTTCTTAACCTCCCCATCTCAAGTTCCAAGGCTCCCTAGGCAAACCTTTGGAGCCCTCAGAATGGAAGGGATCTTTTAACAGTAAAAAAAAAATGTTGCCGGATTGTTGTTGTTGATGGGATTGGGGCTGCTAGCAATGAATTTTTCACTATTAAAGACCTCCCCCTACCAACCATCCCCAGAGTAAAAGTGAACTCTAGAGAGCCTCAGGATCTGAAAGGGTGGATAGAAAACCTTCAGTGAATTTAAATTAAATCTTTCTAGTGCCCAAGCCAGATGACACCGGTGCAGTTATATCAACAGGATTTTGACCAATAACTGCCCGGTCCAAAATATAAAACATTCTTGTAAATATAAAAATGACTGAAAGTGTTCTAACTGCACATCCTCATGTCAGATGCAATTTATAAATGGCCAATTTTTTAACAGCCCCCCTCCTCCACCAAACATTTCGAGAGGGACTAAAGCAAGCAACTGAGACATTTACTCAAAGTAACTTTAGTCTTCCCACAGTTGCAAGACAGAATGTCTTGCCTATCATGAGAAGAGAAAGACTATACAGTGTAAAAGAATGAGCCACTCAATGTAATTATCTCCTCAAAAACACAGGGAATGGCATGGAAAGGTCTTAGTCCCTTGCAAACACTATCAAAACTCTCAGAAGTTACTCGGACATCTTGCCATGGGTAAAGCTAACATCCTCTATGCTGTTTCACCCAGAGCCCTTTTGATAGGAGCAATTTTCTTCTAGGCTGTTTCATTCAGAACACCACTTAAATTTCCTTGTTTTTCCAGGAAGTTGTCACTCTCCCCTGACTAACAGGACTGGAGCAAAACTGGCAAAAGAACAGTAATACACTGTCTTAAACTCTTGGACCCATAAAGTATCATTTCATAAAACACAGGCTTAAGATTTCATTTCCTTCTACTCTCCTTATTACTTAATGCCTGCGTTCCTCTGTTTCCTCAGTCATTGGTTTGGAACTAATAGCAAGTACAGTGGTGCCTCGCATAGAGAGGTTAATCCGTTCCGGATTAACCTTCGCTATAGCGAAACATCGCTAAACGGAAATAAAAAAGCCATAGAAACGCATTGAACTTTGTTCAATGCATTCCTATGGCTTTAAAACTCACCGTTAAGCGATCTTCCTCCATAGCGCCGCCATTTTCGCGCCCTCGGTAAGCGAGGGCAGGGCGCGAAAATGCGGCGCGGACCTTCCGGCGGCCATTTTGGAACCGCCGATCAGCTGTTCTCCCCCGCTTTGTTATGCAATATTCGCTAAGCGAATCGCTTAGCAAATATCGCAAAGCGAAAAAACGCCATAGGGGCCATCGCTGAGCGAATGCTCTAGCGATGGGCCAGAGCCCCTCGTTAAGCGATTTAATTGCTCAACGGGGCGCTCGTTAAGTGAGGCACCACTGTATACCTATCACCACCACCCCATTCTAAAAATATTTCGTTGATTCACCTCCTACCCCAGCTAGGGACCAGAAAGGATACCAGAGAATTTGTGCACTGCTAAGAGCCTTGCTACTACACAACAAGCAAAAACAAACAAACAAACAAAAACAATACAACAAGCACACACAAAAAACAAACAAAAACAAAAACAAAAAAATAGGAGGGTCCTCTCACATTTAGAAACTACATTGTCTACAACTATTTTCAATAGCAGCAAGAAAGATCTATTCTAGATCTCAAAAAGATCTAAAAATTAACTATTGTAACACTCTCTACATAGAGCTACCTCTGAAGATGGTACAGAAACTCCAGCAGGTTCAAAACATGGTAGACAGATTGATTTCAGGTGCAGGTAAATTTGATTACAGTAGACAGTATCTCCCTGATCCTGACCTGTTTGCATTTGCTCCCTGTCTGTTTCCGTTCCACATTCAAGGTATTGACATATAAAGCTCTGAACAGATTGGGACCTCATTAACTGGCAGAGTGCCTCTCCCAAAGAGCAACTACCGAGTCACCTGCTCCTCCCAGGCCATGTTCCTCAAGGTGGCCACCCTGAGAGAGCCCAAGAAACCAGGCCTTCTTAGCGGTGGCCACTTCATTGTGGAATGTCCTTCCTCTGAAGATGTGCCAGGCCCCCTCCCTTGATACATTTACAAGACTGGTCAAGGCAGAACTCCACAAAAAGGCATTTAAAAACTTTCTTCCACTGAGGGAATAGTCATAGACCCATGTTTGACTGTCACTATATGTGTTTTTAATGCTCCTCCTCTTTTTCTTCTTTGGTTGATAATTACGTACTTGTGCTATTCATTTTGCATTTCTATTACTGTATTTTGTTTACTGAGATTTTCTGTTTCTTTGTACACCACCCAGAGTAGTGAACTGTCACTAAGTCAGGCTGTATAAAAACTAAATAAATAAAATTAAACATATTCTGCTACTGAAAAGAAATAAAAACTTCTAGTTTTGTTGCAGCATGCTTCCAATAAGAAAGAAGCTTAGCTTTAAGTCAGTTTCAGGAATCAATGTTTACAAAACATTTGAGATTTTCTGTTTCTTTGTACAACACCCAGAGTAGTGAACTGTCACTAAGTCAGGCTGTATAAAAACTAAATAAATAAAATTAAACATATTCTGCTACTGAAAAGAAATAAAAACTTCTAGTTTTGTTGCAGCATGCTTCCAATAAGAAAGAAGCTTAGCTTTAAGTCAGTTTCAGGAATCAATGTTTACAAAACATGTTTGTAATGTAATTACACATATTATACAAAAAGGGGAGAATAAAATCACCAAAAGAAGCAAGAACTCACTTCTAACTGCCACATACTCAGATAAGAGGTATGAGTTCATACAAGATCTTGGGGTAGCTCCTCTCAACCTTCATCAGCCTTTAGCATTCAGCAGTACAAGATCAGCAAACAAAGACTTTGCATATAAACAGGACTTGGGGTAGTAGCTCCTCCCAACCTTCATCAGCCTTTAGCATTCAGCAGCCTTTCCCTTTCTGGCATTATTGGACATGCAGGCTAGAGTGGTGAGGTTATAGGGTAACATGTCTCAAAGTCACCAGACTGGGGCACACCATAAACTTTGCTACATTGCAAAGCTTATGTAGCAAACAAAGACTTTGCATATAAACAGGACTTGGGGTAGTAGCTCCTCCCAACCTTCATCAGCCTTTAGCATTCAGCAGCCTTTCCCTTTCTGGCATTATTGGACATGCAGGCTAGAGTGGTGAGGTTATAGGGTAACATGTCTCAAAGTCACCAGACTGGGGCACACCATAAACTTTGCTACATTGCAAAGCTTATGTCTGAAAGAAATGGCCCATCATGTTATACACAGCATGACCTTTGGTCCAAGTGAATGGAATCTGGGCATTAAACTGCCAACATTTTCAGGTCTAAATATGGAGATATAGTATTCTCGACATGGACAGAGTTTCTACTCCTGTTCCTCTGAAGATGCTGGCCACAGAGACTGGTGAAACGTTCGGAAGAACAACCTTCACAACACGGTCATATGGAGATATAGATTTAAAATTCATTAAGGCTTATTACAAAATTGGACTAATCACCATAACCACATGAAATACTTACATAACAAAATTTGGAAACCAGCCACCATCAGACAATTGTCAAAAGTGGGACAAGCGGGCCATTTCACAATGGTATACTTCATATAAACTAGTTGGCAACAAAAAACAAAGTTCACTTACGGAATCCAGAAAGCAGAGATACATCCCAGAACTCTGATCTACTGCATGATTTTTAGCAAAGCCCACTGTTGATAAAGTAAAAGGAAAGAGTATTAAATGAACATAATTACAATGTTTTTTTTCCTATTCAATGTTCGTAACATTAAGGGGAAAAATATCTCAAAATCCACACATAAACCGACTTCCTTGCCAATCTGAATTTTGAGAAGCATATCCCCCATTAAGCAAACACCCACAGAGGTTTGATTTGTGCACCTATGGCACAGAGCCCCTTTCAGCTATCTTGGCCTACTCCAACAAATCATCACACATCAGTGAGTGATGGATGACCTTCGCCCCCCCTTCCCCTCTTTCTTTCCATGTGCTCAGCTAGCTTAGAATCCTGATATGGATGGAGACAAGTATCATGGGAAAAACAGGGTTCAAGGCAGAGACATGCAGAAATAAGATCATAGTACATCTCTAGGTAATTTTCAATACTGTATATCATCCAGAAATCCCAATTCCCAGCAATTTAACAGCAGCAGCAGCAGTAGCAAAAATGCCATCCCCAATTTTTTCTTAAACTAGAAAATCAAGAAAAACAAAAATTACCATATGAGAGGTTTTGTCTGGCAGCTCTAGTTCTGGCACAGAAAAGGAATTCCTGGATTGAGCACTAAAGATGGCATTTTTGGATTTCTTGGGCTCCCAATGTCAGAATTTGCCTGGAACCCTCCAGGTAGAATTCTGGAAGGGAGAGAGCTAAACCGGAAGGCAAAAGAGATGTTTCCCTACCGCCATATATGCCACATTCCATGTGATTTTGCTTTGAAGAGAAAGAAGATGGCCCCAGTGGTCACTGAGAGTCCCAATGCTTCCTGGGAATTGTTACATGCTTCAGAGGATGGGTTCCACAAAAGGCTCCCACTATAGATCCTAATGGGTGGCAGGGTAGGATTCCAGGAAGATTCTGGGAGCGGAAGTCCTAGAAATCCAAAGTCCCGATCCTAACTGAGCAAGCATTCAGAGGCATCTTGTTGTGCAATTCAACATCTGACTTCCTGAACTCTCTTTTGCATCTGTCTGGAAGTCTAAACTCTATCCATTCCTGTTTAAGTATTCTCTGCAGACAGGACATGAAATACAGTGGGGTCTCTACTTAAGAACTTAATCCGTATTGGAAGGTGGTTCTCAAGTTGAAAAGTTCTTATGTTGAATCTGCATTTCCCATAGGAATGCATTGAAAACCATTTAATCCGTATCTGCTCTTTTCCGTCCATAGAAACTACAGTGGAACCTCTACTTAAGAACGTAATCCGTTTTGGAATGGTGTTCTTAAGTTGAAACGTTCTTAAGTTGAAGCAAAATTTCCCATAGGAATGGACTGAAAACCAATTAATCCATTCTGGCTGGTTTTTTTGTTATGTAGAGGTGCGTTCGTACATTGAAGCATTAGTTCCCATAGGAACTAATGCAAAGCTGGTTAATATGTACTCTACCACTTGGGGGAGATTTTTTTTTTAACCTAAGATGACCTAAGGTTAAAAAAAGAGCAGGAAAGTTTTTTTTTTCCTGTTCTTATCTTGGATTTCTGTTCTCAAGTAGAAGCAAAATTTAGCAAATGGAGCTGTTCTTAAGCACCTGTTTAAGTATTCTCTACAGACAGGATATGAAATAAGGAAAAGGAACAGGGCACTTTCAAGCTCATTATTTTATTATTTTTTTGTGAGAAACCAAGCCATAGTTTGGTGGAGCAGCCTATTACATCTTAACTGGGAAACAGATTAACAGGTCCAAAGTCTGTGATAACTTCTATAAAAATTTTTTGCAACATTCTAAGTTAACTTGCAGGATTATTGGGCTGAAGACAAGAATGGTAAAAACAAAACATGTAAGCTGCACTAAGCTTTTTGAATAAAAACAGATGGGACATACAAAGGAGAAACAAAACAAACAACGTCTCCATTTTCTACAGGATCAATACACAATAACAATACAAAAATTATTCAAATTGCATACAACTTTGCAGTGTGTTATTTTTCCAGAATTCATACTACAAGCAATAAAATGACCAAATCTCTTAAATAAGCAAAATAATGAAATCATTTCTCATGTTTATTATCCGAAATACTTCCATATAAAATAAAAAGGACAAAATATTCATCTGACTGAAAAGAAGCTAATGGACAAAAAAACAGAAGCAACGACAGAAGTCCCACGAAGAGATGTTGTAAAAGGTCTAGTTTTACAATCAGAACACAAACCTCTAGGTAGAGTAGATGCTAAGAGGCAAATAATACGCACATTAAACTCTTTATCAACCGTAAGATCATGATGTCTGGTGACTGTGGGGCATCTCCAGACTGCTTTCATTTAACACTCTGAGGTCCCAATCCTATTTCTTGATACCAAGATTAACTTGAACTGAAGCATTGCTTCTTCATTCAAGTAAGTTCATGACAATACAGACACAACACAGCGAAGTTTCAAGTACCTTGCATGCCACTACCACGTTTTTAGAATCTTACTATCATACATTATGGTCGTTCTCCACCCTACTTCATTTACACTTTTATATTCTGAGAGGGTTTTTTAAATGGATTGTTACGGTCTGTTGTTTAAACATGTTTTGGTATTGATTTTATTTACCATTTTAACTTGTTGAATTATTTACTTGTTGAATTCTTGTTCAATATTTGTGTGCCTACTGTTTTTAGCTTTTAAATATTATCTTTTTAATTCTATAAGCCATCTTGGGTCACTTTTAAGGAGAAAGGCAGGCTGAAAATATTTTAAATAAATAAATATTCTAGAACACGCTTTTTAAAAGTACATTTTAACCCATCCCCTCTGAGCATCTCGTGCATTACAGACATACGAGATATAAAGGAGAACTTGGCAACAAAATAGTACAGGGTAAAGCACTCCAGTTCCTTGCATTCATTCTATTTCCACTAACACAGTATCAGTAGATATTGAGTGTGCTCAGTCCTCATTAGGGTTTGAAGACAGTGCTACAAACTAAATGTAAATGTTTGACAAGCTCAGCAAAACACAATCACATCCTCAGATGATTTAGCTTGTTTGGAAAGATTATTTCCTACAGTAGAAATTACAGAGACTAGAGTGGAGCAACGAATTCTTCCCCAGGAAAAAAAAATTGTTTAATCAAAAAATACAAGTATTCTGGGGGTTTTAAAATGAATACATTTGATTTTTCATGGATTTCTATACATGCATTTTCCATAACGTACTGTATTTAATGCTATTAATGTTTTTTATATTGTTTAATTACAGTGCTTCCCTGTTTTACTGGGAGAGCTTGAAGTAGAAACATGACTCCTGGCAGGATAAGGGATTTAATCATTGCTATTTCTTCTAACACTGATAGCTGCATTATGTCCCACTGCTTTAAATTTACTTGAAACCAATTTTAATAACACTGTGAGAATCACCGTTCAGGAGCTCAGGGCTCACGAGACTGATTTCAAAACTCTGTTCAGCCATGGAAATTGACTTGGGGCAGATCACAATGATAAATCATTCCTTCAACACCTAACACAACCCAAATACTCTATTAGGGTCTCCACAAGACTTGATGGCACCCAAAAGCATCATCAATAACAACACTGTGTAATTTCTGCATATTTCTTATGGTGTTTTTGTTGAAATTCCCAGACACTTCAAGCTTGAAAAGCAAAGTTTGATTGTTATTGTTGTTGTTATTTATTAATTTATTAATTTCAGGTTGCATTTGTGATGGATTGTTCAGACAGAATAATTCATTTCAAGTCCTGTGTATTTTGTGAACTCTTCTAAAATTAGTTTAAGAGCTATTGTGGCCATTTTTGGTTCTTCTAAGAAATATATTGTCACTTACATGGTCCTGAGTATTTATTTTTATTCCTTTGATATTTGGGTTAAGTCTAATCTGCTCTGCAAGTGATTCCACTTCTACTGTTAACAAGAGAGGAGAAAGTACGAAGACTTGCTTTCTCTCCAGCTGAAGTTTTTCCGTTGTGTACAATTCTTGCTATGGAATCTTTGCAGAGCTTGTCTACAAGTCTGATTTATTTCTAACCCATATTCTGATTTCCTAGAGAGCCCAAGTAACTATGACCATTCTATATGGTTGAATGCTTTAAGGTATCAAGGGACAGAAGGGCTGCTCTTTTTCATTTTGTTACAATGCTGTATTGTGCTCAATGCTCGAATCAGTGTGGGACCTAAGAAGTGCCAAGCAGGTATGAACATTACTTGAGCTGCGTTTTTCTAAACTGTTATAAATTTGTTCTACCATTGGGCAAGTATTGCTATCAGTATTTGGGGGGAGGGGGCTTGGTACACCAATGTCAACTTCTTGTTGCCACATTTGGGATATGCATCTCAAAACATAAGTGTGGAATTTTGCTCCTCTGCCAGGTATTAGTGAATAATTTCTGGAGTGGCTATATTGTTACATTCTACTGTATATTGTTTTACATAATTCTCCAGAAAATCCATCTACTCCAAGGGATTTCCAGTTCTTTAGCGATAACCACAGAGCAAGAAACATCCCCACCTCCACAGAAGCCAAAAATGGAAAATGGACATTTGAAGACAGCCCTTAAGAGCCGTGGATATCTAAAACAGGCCTTTAACAAAACAATGTCCCAAGCTAGCAGGACAATGGAACAGTCGGAGACCCAGAGCGTGGTCATTCCTTACATGGCAAGTGTGTCTTAAAAGCTCGAAAGGATTTTTGGTAAACACCACATACCTGTGCACTGCAAACCCACATACACACTAAGGCAGAGACTCATCCACTCAAAACAGATGGGTATTCTAGGAGTGGAGGGACAAGACAGTCTTACTGTTTGTTTGTTTTTTGCCAGTTCTGCTCTGCTCTTTTCCACTTCAAGTTGGTGCTATGTGTAAACTCTGGACATATCTAATTCCAATTAAGTCTCCAGGTAGCCATCTTACACGTAGCCCATCCTGATGCAGAAATATTGGCTGGATGCTAATCTCTCTCACACTGGTTGAAGTCAAGATGCTGGCAGAACTATAACTAACTCTGTTCAGTATTAAAAGTATTTCCAGC